ATAACAGCCACAGTTGTAGGAGAATGTCAAAAAGATAAAGGTTAATATATTGTAATTTCGATTTACTGAGAGGGTTGGCCTTAATTAGTTAGAGAATCCGTCATTAAAAAAAGGGGGAAGGTTGATGTTTTTTTTTATCTCATAAATTAGTCATAATATTTACTAGAATGATATTATATTTAAAAAAATTATGTTGAAATTTTATCATGAATATTGAAACTGAACTTCCAAGTTAACTGATATGCATAATAATTAATATAAATACCTCAATTGGTAAACAAAAGCTCATCATTATTACCAAGACTGGCAAGACTGTCTTTCTCTTTCATATCAGAGTGTTTAAACACAGGGACTCGGTTAGCAGATTAAAATTTTGTTAATCAATGTTTTTTATATTTTTTTTTAGTATTTCCTGTCTATTTGTATTACTTTATTAACATATTTGACGATGACATCGATATTTCTTTATTTTCTAGCAATGTGCAGTTTTCTATCCATATCCGTATACAGAAAAATCTATCGATATTTCTTTGTTTTCTAGCAATGTGCAGTTTTCTATCCATATCTGTATACTGAAAAATCCTAATCTGCTAACCGAGTCCCTGTGTGTTTAAATATATTTATAAAAGATAGTTTTATAAAGCAATATAATAATCTGTAACTTTTCATTCATGTCAATTACTATTTATTTATTTTAATATTTGCAACAGGTCTCAACCATTTCTTGTTAATGATTATAAAAAGATGAGGTATGATTACCAATGAGACAACTCTCGACAAGAGACCAAATGATACAGAAATTAACAACTAGGTCACCATACTGCCTTCAACAATGAGCAAAGCCCATACCGAATAGTCAGCTATAAAAGACCCGAAAATGACAATGTAAAACAATTCAAACGAGAAAACTAACGGCCTAATTAATGTACAAAAAATGAGTTTGTGCAAATAAGATATATTATATAATATGTATTTTTATTGTGTTATTTTTTCATTCTGAAATTTTTTATTTCCCTTATGTGTTGTATGTACTTTTTTTGGCTAAAGTTCAAATTTTTTGTTTTACAGGTGTGGCTGATAGAATATCTGCAGGAGATTACTCTATAGTTTTTTCATCCCCTGAGGCTGCACTCCTGCCAGGTTTATGGAGAAGAAGTCTTACAAGTGGAAATTTCAACACTGCTGTAAAAGCTGTAATCATAGATGAGGCCCACTGTATAACTGAATGGTGAGGACAGTTTCTAGTTGCATGTATACACAGTGACACCAGAATTTAATATTTTCAGAATTATTTTCCTCTATTGTTTTTGTCATTTAATTTGAATTGGGGCCATCTTAAAAGTATTAAGGTCCTTAAAAGGCTATTTCAGTACTATTCAAATAAAATCATAGATACATGTACCAGGATTGAAATTTTATATTTACACCAGACGCGCTTTTCGTCTACAAAAGACTCATCAGTGATGCTCGAATCAAAAAATGTTTAAAAAGCCAAATAAAGTACTAGAGATTAACTTTTTTACATCAAATTCTTCAAACAAAAAAAGCTGAAAAGGATTTCTGTGTATTTGAATAAAATGGGATATACAGCTAACTGCCGTTTATTTACTTTCAACTTACTTTTATTTTCTTTTTATCTTAACAATTTTTTATTTCACTATCTATATTTATTGATAATGTTGCCATAACAACCATTATTGTAACATTTACTTCCGTCTTTTGTGGCGGCATAAAAATGAGTTTTATTAATCTTGGCAGGTTAGTAAAAATTGTAAAGATATAGTTTTTATTTACCTTTATACTTTTTTTTGTGATATGTCATGATCAGAAGTCAGTAGATAATATTTGTAATTGTCCTTTCAGGGGTGCTGAATTCAGACAAGAATATTCCATGCTAGACGAGTTGAGATCTATTTTTCCTGAGAAAACACCATTTGTTGCTCTAACAGCAACTGCAACCAAAGAAATGAAACTTGAAATTCTGAAAAAACTCAACATGGACCAAGACAGGACAGATACAATATGGATGCTTCCTGAAAGACCTAATTTAACGTACGTTGTTAAGAAAACCACTAAGCAAATGAGCGACTTGCAATGGATATTGGATGATATAAAGGTGAAAGAAGGAAAGGCTAAAAAGACCATTGTCTATTGTCGTAACATAAGTTCATGTGCAGCATTATATGAATACTTTTTCTATGAACTTTCAGAAAGTGCAGATGATGTTCACAGTAGACGCATTGCCATGTTTCATCGTTCTACAGCTGAAACAAACAAAGTGCATGTTATGTCTGAATTTCCCAAGATAGATAGCAAAGTACGTGTTGTGTTTGCAACAATTGCATTTGGAATGGGTGTTGACATTGCAGATGTTGAGCAGATTATCCACTGGGGTGCTCCTCGTGGACTAGAACAATTCACTCAGGAGAGTGGTCGAGCAGGTCGAGACGGAAGACATGCATTGTCAGTTGTTTATTATTCAAGTTTTGACATTTCCAAAGGCAGGTGTAAAGAAAGTGTAGTTGATTTTTGCAAGAAAGTGAAATGTTGCAAAGAAATTTTGAGTGACTACTTTAGTCTAGACAATAAGCCACACCGCAGCACAACAAAGACTTGTAAATGTTGCTCATTCTGCAAAGCAAACTGTGAATGTGGGTCTTGTGATAGATTAGACTTTATTCATAATATTGCCTCGACACAGCAACAATATAAATTACAAGATGAAGATGCTGATCTACACAGACATATCAGTGACAATGAAAGCATTCTCCTGAAAGAGAACTTGCTCGATTTTTTGAGTATACTTGAAGATGAGGATGCACCAGGCTGCACATATCTCAACGACTCAGCAATCAATGAAATCGTTCGTAACGCGCCTTATCTTTACTGTGAAGAAGACATAATTTCACTTGGTGTTGGTGATATTGAACTTGCCAGAGAAATACTTTTGTTGATTGAAGAAATTGTCTAATAAAATTTATTAAATATTCCACAATCTCCATTCAATAATGTATGTCATTATATAAAAATAAGGTATGACTGCCAATGATTAGACTCTCCACCCGACACCAAATAACATAGAAGTAAACAACTAGAGATCGCTGTAGGGTCTTCAACAATGTGCAAAACCTATACTCCATAGTAAGCTTTTACGGCCCCATAATGACAAATGTAAAACAATACAAACTATAAATTCAGAAAACCTAGCTGCCCGATTTGTATACAACAGAATGAATGAAATTAAAACAAGTTTATATTCAACAACAAACCACAACCACTGAAACTGCCAGCCTTTCCAAAGCAAGAAGTAGAGCTCGGTCATATTCTTCAATGATCTTTTGTTAATACATGTATGTTCTATTGTCTCTGGACCATTAAAAATCCATTAACGAGATCCTGATGCATTGATTTTTGTTTGCTTTATAATGTCCAGTAGCAATATATAGTGTTGCATATTCATGACAATTAATCCCATTTGAGTAATTTTTGTCGAGACTGCGACTTTTGTCGCAGAAAGCTCGACATAGGGATAGTGATCCGGCCGCAGCGTTAGCTTACTTCTTAAAAGCTTAATATTTTAGAAGGTGGAAGATCTGGATGCTTCATGTTACGAAGTTTCCGTCAGTCACATGTCCAATGTCCTTGACATATCATGGTTCAGTGACTACTTGAAAAAAAAGTTAAGATCTCTTATTATAAGTAATAGGATAACTATATTTGGTATGTGCGTACCTTGCAAGGTCCTTATGCCCGTCAGACAGTTTTCACTTGACCTCGACCTCATTTCATGGATCAGTGAACAAGGTTAAGTTTTGGTGGTCAAGTCCATATCTCAGATACTATAAGCAATAGGTCTAGTATATTCGGTATATGGAAGGACTGTAAGGTGTACATGTCCAACTGGCAGGTGTCATCTGACCTTGACCTCATTTTCATGGTTCAGTGGTTATAGTTAAGTTTTTGTGTTTTGGTCTGTTTTTCTTATACTGTATGTAATAGGTCTACTATATTTGGTGTATGGAATGATTGTAAGGTGTACATGTCTAGCTGGCAGGTGTCATCTGACCTTGACCTCATTTTCATGGTTCAGTGGTCAAAGTTAAGTTTTTGAGTTTTGGTCTTTTTTTCTAATACTATATGCAATAGTTCAACTATATTTGGTGTATGGAAATATTTTATGATCTATATGTCAGTCACACAGGTTTTTTTTACCTTGACCTCATTTCCAAGGTTCATTGCTCAGTGTTAAGTTTTTGTGTTTCGGTCTGTTTTTCTTAAACTATAAGCAATAGGTCAACTATATTTGTTATATGGAAGAATTGTTAGCTGTCCATGCCTGCCTAGCATGGTTCATCTGACCTTGACCTCATTTTCATGGTTCATTGGTCAATGTTGAGTTTACTTGGTTAATGTTAAGTTTATGTGACAGTTGTAATAAAGCTTTATATTTAGGACTATCAACATAATATCAATGATAAGTAAAGAAGATGAGACATTTCAGCGTGTGCACTCTTGTTATACTTTCTACCTATACCAGCATACTGTTCAGGGGCAACTATTTCATGCATACTTAGGTCAAGTTTAAATTTATAGCATTATTCTTTGTTTCTTGATTTTCTTTGAAATTTCTTGGTGAAACTATATATACAATATTGATTCAGACTTATTTGTCCAGTTAAGTTATCCAATGAGTGCACATGTACATTTACTGGTTCCAGTTTCATTCAATTGGCATGATTGGGACTTTCACGGATTCTGAAACAATTATTTGAATGTGATAAACAGTACGTTATGGAGTGTGTAGTATTTTGGTAGCATATAGGACGAAAATTAAATCTTATTTCATTGAGAATTATTCAATAATTTCTTTTCATTTTTGTAACTGTTCTCAATTTTTACTACTAAAAGTAGAGCAATATAGAATGTAGGACAATATAAATATGGTATACTATATTGATGTATGAATGTATAGCATATTTATATTTAAATAAATTGGTTTTTTATTGTTGTACAGTGCAGGTGACATGTTTTTGTTCAAATCCTTGGTCTTTAGACAATAAAGTTGTCTTATTGGAAATCCACACATTCATTCACGTTACTTTTTAATGACTCTCATGTTTTTGGTTTGGTTGTATTGGTAAGTTGCTGTTTCTGTTGTTACACACTCAATAAAACTGATAGACCTGGTATATAAATTTAATACAAGGAAAATTTTTAAAACACAACACACATGAAAATTCACAAGTTAGTTTCAATATTATATAAAAAAGCACTGAAAATGAAATTATATACATGTAGCTACTTTCTGTACAATAAAAATTTATATAATCACAACATTAAAGTACTTTGACAAGTATCAATATTATATAAAACAGCACTGAAAATGATTTTAGATACTTTCTTGAAATTGGTAATTTAATATTTTTGAGCTGGATCAAATTTTTAGAGGTATTAAGTTCACGTGTATATACATGTATGTCATCAGATGAAATTATATCTTCCAAAAAAAAAAAGCACTGCAAGCAAGAAACCATTAAAAGCACTAAATAAATAAGTATTATTAACACAGGTAAAAAATCAACTATATACATTGCCACTTATATTGGAAATAAAATATTTTAAACTAGGCGGCCAAAACTCATCACCATTGAAGTAAATGGATTTGTAATATAAACACTGATTCATATTTTATATTACTTGACTCTGGTGAAAAATACTTCTGTGTGTCAATTAAAACAATCTATAAAAAAATGTACATATATATAAAAATCTATAGTAAATTATAGGTCAAAATAGCCAGTGGAACTTCTTTTTTGGCAAGCATCGAAAATGGACTACTTCATTCATTGTTTATAAGAATCAACAAAAATGTTTAAACAATAATCTATTTGAAATGTCCATTTGTTCTCTATAAATTATGCTTTATTTCTGAATTGAAAAACAAAAAACAAAAATTGCAGCATTGCCTTATTAACTTGTGTGTTAGAGCAAGATGATACAGAAGATGTGAAAAATTTGTTACATCAACACAGCACTAATCATTGCTGTATATACATGAGAGTCTGAAAGGGGTACATGTATACATAATAGGAGAAAGAATGTGCAGAATGAAGGGCTAAATAAATACAAAAATTGAGAAAAAAACAAAATAGAGAATAATGGGATGCTTAAATATAAAGACTAGAGATTTTCATGCCAAATTAATAAAGAATAGAGAAAATGGCTATAAAAATTTAAGAATACAGAACAGAAGGAGCCCTCCCCCATCCACACCCTCATATATACAAAACGTCATTCTGAGCTTTAGTTTAGCAACAGAACTACATGTAATTGGAACACTGTACATTTCTATTTGGACTCGAATTCAGTGTGAAAATAGAAATTTGTTAAACATATTCAATAAAAAATGACTTTTGCAACAACAGTTGCAAAAAGCATACATGTAAGGTAAAGGTATAAATATCACAATATGAAAATAAACTATTGCGCTATTTGTAATGTCATCACAGCACTATATACGGTATGAGCGATTTCTCTGCTGACGAGCACATTCTTCTTTCTTCCCTGTCAACCAACTGAAAAAATTCTTTCCATTAAGTCTACTATTTGGGTCATACTCCATGGTCATGAAGGATCTATGGCTGCGACCGGGTATTCTTTCAAACAGCTTTTCAACTTTAAGACTGTCCACAAGCTTATTTATGTCTTTCTGGATAGAAGGCTTTGAGTTTGCTGGCTTTCCAAAAAACTGTTGCAATCCTTTGGTGTAGCCATCAATAAGGTAGTTGCATCCTTGCAAGCTTCGACCACAACGCTGTATAGCAGTAGATGTAAGGTTACCTCTTAAACCGGTTAAGCCGTCTTTCGCCCTCATATTCATGAATTCTAATGCTAGATCACAAGGAATGTTTCCTCCTGGTCCACCATGAATATTCACAGTACGATTATACTTCAGTTCATGGGCCATTTTTGGTGGCAATATAGCAAGAAGCTGAGCTTGCAGTTTAAAAGCTAACAGCCTGTACTTTGTATGGTTGGTGTACGAAAACCTTAGCATGTCGAAACGCCACATTCTAACAAGTCTATCTCCGTCATTTTCTTTGGCTGCATCTTCTCGGCACCAATCCATCAGCCCTTCTCGCAACAAACAACAAGAATAATTAAATTTTTTGTCTTCCAGCTTGGTAGTTTTAGTGTCTATATCTGTTTCTTTCTCTTCATTAATATTTTCGATTTGACCAACATTTCCTAAAATTTCCAAATTTTGGTACTGGCATGTTTCTCTGTGTCTCTGGCGGCAACGTCCATCAATGGAAAATGTCTTGTTGAAGGCCGTACAGTGACCTATAGTTGTTAATTTCTGTGTCATTTGGTCTCTTGTGGAGAGTTATCTCATTGGCAATCATATCACATCTTCTGATACTTGAGACAGCACCCATCAAATTTTGTTTACCCAATTGTCAAAATAATGATTGAAAAAGAATTCTTGCCCTTAATATGATATATTTATATATACATGTATGTGTAAAGGGTTTACTAAACATGTGTAAGTTGTTCAAAGCAAACAGTTCTTCCCAAAGTAAATAAATGAAATTTCTTAATACCTGCAAAGAAATAACATGTCCATGCCAGTCTTCTGATTTCCACGTAAAACCTTCAAGTCTGTCTTCTTCAGTAATTGCATCCATTCTTGCCCGACTTGCTGCCTCACCACGCTCAACGCTTAAGGCATCCCCTCCTAACAGTATTGGTATAAATTTTCCGTCATTGGTTTTTGGAACATATTGTTGTAAATGCTGCACAACTTCTATCATCTGCTCTGTGATATTCTCATCCTTTTCTAAGATCCCCAAAGGTACCTTGAATAAAAAAAACTTGATTTTAATAAATTTCAACAAGAGATATAAATATTACATGGGGAAGCAAATGATTCAAGCTAAACCAATTTTAAATCGATAAAGTTTCATGTACTTAATAAAGGAGAAGATATGTTTCATTCTTTTAAAAATGTGTAAGATTAATTAAAACCTAAATTTATATTGACATTTAACCAGTAAGATAGAGAAATTATTGTTGAAGGGGTTATATGAATCATTAAAGTTGGGGTATATTACACAAGTTTCAGATTTTTTACAATAACAAATACTTCATTTGATTTGTACTATACCACACAAATTTGTTTGTCAAATTGATAGTTAAAAAAAAAACAACCAACAAATAGTATTAGTCTTCCTTAGAAAAGGTCTGTTTAGTACTTATATATATACATGTATGTGTTAATTTGTTTTGTAACCGTCCAATATATTCAATTTTCACTTCATCTTCTATTTTTAAAATTCTGGAGTTATCTCATTTCTTCAAAAAATAATTTGTGTACCGTTTGAACATTGATTGATTACGTAAAAAACATGATTGATTTCAATTTTAAAAAAAAACAACAAAAAAAAAACAACTGAATAAATTTACTTACTATATCACTTTTTTTCTCTGAAGCCTTGGAGTACTGATGTTCAATGTGAAATGTGACAAGGTCTCTAAAATCTTTAAGTTCTGGTATATAGGTGACTAAAGCCCTCTGAATTAATATTTGAAAATCTGCATATAAATCATCATGGTCTGTCTGGTTTGGAACGAAAGCTTCATTCGGTATCGACAAAATGTCTGCCTGTGGCAAAAGTGACTCCAAGTCTGTCGTTACTCTGTGTTGTATTCCAATTGAATGCACCAGATTATGTACCTTGTTTGAGGTATCCAGTGTCTTGTGCCTGGTTTTCTGGTGCAGATTTAAATTATCCATCACAATCTGAAAGGGTCCAGATTCTGATGATGCTTCTACCGGTATAGTTGTTGTGAATGGTGAATCCATATCAATTGCTGGAATAAAAAAGTTCATTGTTATCTGTGTGCTACATGTATATGAAATTTTAGGGGAGCTAATGACTGTTCATAATTGAATGTTAAGCAATCATTCCATATCTTTTTTATAACTCTAAGCAGGGAAATAATGCCTTGTTTTAATCAGACAAAATGATGCCCATATATTTACACTGAAAATAAAAGTTTAAAATTATAATATATTATTACGAACTAGTTATACATGTATGTTAAGGCCATAGAGTCGCATAGACAATACAATTATCAAGTATGATGTTGAAAATGTAATATATTCAGATGAATATATCATATTAAATATCAAAAGAAGTGAACCCCCCTCTTTCAGTTTCCATTTTTTTCATGACAACCCGACCCCCCATTTGGAGATAAAAATCAATAATGACAAGTACCTGCTCCCTTAAAAAGTAAATAAAGCCATCACTTACACAAGTCTATCTTGCAGGCTGGTGTTTGAAGTAACTCCTCTGACTCATAGCTTCCACATTTTATTGGTGTAGGTAAATGTAAATTTTCTTGACTCAAATCAGGATTTCCTGATGTGTCAAGTCTGGAATGGTCAATTGGAGATTCAAACAAAGGTTCAGCAGTGTATATACATGTATCCTCCATCTTGGTTTCAGTTTCTATATCTATTGGGATAGCATAACTATGATCATCTGCAAAGAAAGACACAAGTTAATCTTTATTCAAAATTGTAGTTTTCATGCATAAGGCCTACACAATTTTTTGCTAATTATGATCACACCCACCAATATATCTAAAGTTTATTGATCCTATAACTCTAGCTAATGAACTATGGAAGTCATCACTACAACATATTTTATGTGAAAACTTTTTTGTCCCAAACCCTATTCATTTTAGTAAACATAATTTTAAATTGTACATATATTAAACTGTAGCTTCAATTTTCTACGTGTAGTAAAAAAAATGTACCATTGCATCGTAAATAAAAAATATTCAAAATGATAAGGTATTCATTGAACACAATTATATTATAACTACATGTATACTAGGCATATACAAGTACATGTATTTCATTTTAAAATTTGTACATGTATATTACTATTCATTAAATATGTTATAAAACTGTATAATTTTTATATAAATGATTAAGTTTATTATTTCAAACAAATACAACATGGACATACTAGTACATGTACACTTAAAAACTTAAATTGACTAAATTTATTTAGATAAAAAGATTAATACTGAGGCTCGTAGAAATTTATATAATTCACAAGACCAGCATATTTTGTTTAATATTTTGAAAAAAGTTACAAGACATGTACCTAAGCTTGAGTCCTTCGTATTACTATTTTCTTTGTTATGCATCTCTGCAACCTTATTAGCCCATTTCTTCACTGGCAGGTCAAAACTCTCACATATTCTGTCAATAGTGGACAATGTTGATTTGTATGATGTACACAGTCCTGCACGGTTGAATGTAGTGTAAACCTGAAATCAAATTCCATCTAAATTTAGAGCATTTCAGATCAATACATACTAATTCATCGAAACAATTATACTACGAAAGCAAGGAGATATGGTATTTCCTAGACACCAAAAAGTAAAAATTGTATGAATGGTTGCATATTTGAGAACAAAAAAACTACCAGTGTACTCTACACACTACATGTACATTTTAGCCAACTTTATTTTTCTTAATAGGGAAGCGAAACACCACTAATTTTTTTACAAGTTTTACACATGTAAATACATCCTTTTTAAAATTCAGATAAAAATAAAATTATATATGCCCCTTGACTCACATGACTAACTAATTAATATAAATTTGGGTAAGCATTCTTAAGTTAATTGTTACTTGTACATTAACTGTACTACTGACCAAATACAAATCTCCTGACCATTTACACTATTATTTACCAAATTCATACATGTACATGTAATAATTATATTTAATATGCCAGTCTGAAAATTTGAAATTCATATTATTCCACTCTAACTCAAGTCCACAAGTTAAAATTTTCACTTAACCAAATACTAATCTTGCTATCTTTTATATATTTACCTTAGTTCTTACATGACCCCTGAACATTAGTACACTGTTTATTGCTTGAAAAGTGTTGATCTGTTGGTTTCTTGAAAAAAGTAGGATGGCAAGACTTGATACAACTCTTGGTACATTATTCTCTTTTTTGCCAGCAAGAAGTCTGAGGAGGTCAACTGTAGTGGGGCATGTGTTCAGCAATTGCTTATGTACTGTCTTCCATGAAAATCTAGCTATATTTGATGATCTCAACACAGAGTTCTTATCTGAACATACTTTGTTTACTTCCTGGTTTATAGTTTTCTTAACAGTGTTAACTAGTTCTTTCTTGACTTCGTCAATTTGAAGTAGATGGTTCAGTGCAGTCTTGTATTGTTTCATTACAAGAGCCCTACAGGCCAGCTTAGTAGGTCCTTGTAAATTAGTTTTTCTTTTACTATGGCGGTAATCAATTTGCACCTGGAAAAAAAGTAAGAAATGTACATTACGTGTTATGATTTTGTTACTTATCATGTTTATAAATAAGAAAGAAAATAAATTGCTTACAAAAGCTTACAGAACTGGCTACATGTATAATGAACATGTACAATAGCAAAACTTGTTGCATTCCTTAATACCAGTAAACTGAGATACATGCATATTTCAAATAAGTTACACAAATGCTGCATTACATGTATGTTGAGTTGATTTTTTTCTAAATCAAGAAGTGGGAGATACAATTGCAAAGTTAAAAAATCATGGCTTAAGTCAGGGTATTTGTAATTTACATGTAAAAAAGGTTCAATGATCATTAGTTTAAGAATTTAATGTTATCTTATATATATATATATATATATACCTTGACTTTGGGGCCAGGGGACTGATTCTGTGAGTGTGACTGTGTTTGAGTTCTTGGAATGGGTGTAGAGAACTGCAGTCTCCTTCTATTGCCTTTAGGAGTTGATCCTCTGGGTGGACTCAATTTCTTTCCTTTTGGTGTACATCCAGTCTTAGAAGGGGTTAAACAGTCCCTGTTTCGCTTTACACTATTGTTGCCACGGACATATTCTAACTTGATGGTGAGATTCTTAAAGTTATTAGAAACTTTTTCTTTGAGAGTGTCAGTCAACTGTTTGCATTTTTTCTGGCTGTTGTATATGGTTTTAAGAGATTTAAAACATGCATCACATACATAAGTGTCTTCATTTTCTTCAACATACTTTCTCAACAGATTTTCCTCCAACTGGTAACAATTTGCAATAGTTTCAATTAGATCAACATCACTATGTTTCATAAGTTTACGTCTTCGCTCCGTTTTTAAATTGTTCACATCAAAATAATGTTGACAATGCAAACACGTGTTGTCAAATTCCATTGTTATGAAGGTGTTTACTTTTAATCATGCTCCGCCTTCTTTTCCAGCTATTTGCGAACAGGTAAATAGGTAATATAACCTAAGGAGGTTACTAATCGTATCATCTGTTTATGCTCCGCCTTTTTCTCCCGCCTAATCTGTTATTGTAAACAATTGCCCATAATTCACCGCGTCAATCAATTTCCGCTTTGACGCGTTCTAACTGTGTATGCATTCAGGCGTTAATGTAGCAATCGGAGATTAGACGGAGATCGGCGGAATATAACGACTGACATTATTCGGGTTAAGACCAGATATAACCCTGAATAACATTAAATAACAAAAAAGCAATATAATTAGTATCAACAGGTAAAAAAAACCCAAGAAAGTACGATTTGAGAGTACTCGCAGTTACTGACAGCTACATGTAGTTAAAAGCCAAAACAATTAATAATAAAAAATCATGCATCAGAGACTAAGATCAACTAAAACACATCCCAGGGATTTAGTATATTAACGTCATGGACAGTCAAAGAAGACATGACTAGTGCAATGCCAAAGATAAATGTATCGACAGACAGTAGGATAGTTAGGAGTTTAACCTCTTTATAGATCTAAACGAACGTGGGTGTGTCTTTATACATTCCCCTTGAAAAAAATACAAATTCAATTATGTTTTAATTTGCTGATGACAAAATCGATATTAGTGCCAATGTAAACTATATTCAAAGATCCAATTACAACATTGGTAAGATAACCTTTACTAATAAGTTTGTTTAAAGGTTCGATGAGTTTACTTGGATCATATAGTGATTTCCGCGCTTTAAGTACAATATTACCGTAATATTTAGGATGTGAAATACCGTTTTTAATCAGTTTTCTACAAGTACAGCCAAATTTACTAATCAAATCTTTGTATCTATGAAAGAACTTAGCAAACGTTTTACGTAATTTATGGTAACGAAATCCTTGATTTAATAATTTACCAGTGATGCATTGATTACGTTCGTTAAAATCTATGACATCACTACACACACGGGCATAACGAACGAGTTAGGATATATAAACACCGTATGATGGAGCCAAAGGAACATCGCCGTCTAAAAAAGGAAAATAAACAATAGGGAATGAAAAATCGTCTCTTTTGTCGTACATTTTCGTATGGACTTCAAAACAGATATCATGCAAGCTGCCATCACTAACCAGCAGGAAGGAACTAAGAAGAAAACGCTACACCAACTCAAGTCACTCACACTGCCGAGAAACATTAGCAAGGACCTTATACAATCACTGCATGAAAACGAACCTTTTGATCATATTTTTCAGAAGCCAAAATGTGCACAAAAGGTGATCCGTTTTGGAAGTTTACATTTTTTTACCTTTCGTAGAACAAAAGGTGGTCTTTCATCTTTTGTCATAGGAAAAATGTCTAAAAATGTCATCTTGCTACTTTTGATGCTACAAAAGGTAAAAGAAATGTCGCCTTTCACCCTTTGTTGTTGAAAAAAAGATTTTTAAATATCACCTTCCACCTTTTTCTAACTTTTGAAAATATGCAAAAGGTTGTCTTTCATCTTTTCATACATTTTGTAAAGTTGTTTATGTTACCCTTCACCTTTTACACCTTTCCATATCTTTATTTAAATGTTTTAACTGGATTTTCAGAGATTATTTAAATATTTCTTTTGTAGCAGCAGACAATTTAATTCCTGCAGCATTCAATTACCCTTCATTGATACACTCGACCAAAACATGTGATGCTAATCTAAAAACCTACTAAAAATATTAAATAAGAAAATAATATGGGAAAGGACAGAATCATAGCATTAACCTATAAATGAGTTAAGTTTGAACTTTTGTTTTGCTGTAACACCACTGTTCCAGATTAGGGAGAGGGTTGACTGCTCACAAACATGTTTAACCCGCCACATGCTTTATATATGTGCCTGTTCCAAGTCAGGAGCCTGTTTTTCGTAATTGTTTTGTTATATATTGGACTTTTAGTTTTCTCAATTGAATTGATTCACATTTATCATATCAGAGCCTTTTAAAGACGACTACCTGGTATGGGTTTTCTAATTGATGGAGGCTGTACCTTTGTCTATAATTGCTTACATCCACTTCATTTGAACTTTGTTTGATAGTTGTCTCATTGGCAAACATACCACATCTTCACATTTTATATCCTTCTTCATTGAATGGTTGATTTATTGTTAGATGTTTAAAATCCAATACCTTGTTCATTGATCTCTGGTTGATATAATTGATATATTTCCATATATTTAAATGGACTGATTTTATATATATATATATATATAATTAAATAAACTATTATTGATTTCTGAATTTACTGTCACTATTCATAATTGAATTGGTCTTCATATAATCTAAAACAATAATCTAAAACAAATTAAAAAAGGATCCAGCTTAATTAATCGTTTATACAGTTCTTTTAATTAAATCATTAAATTGGTTTCTCCGTTGAATTATTTAAATTTGTCACGGCAGGGCCTTCTATAGCTAGCAATACTTGGTTGTGGGTTTTGCTCATTGTTGATGGTCTTACATGATTTACATTTGTTAATATTTTTGTCATTTCGTCCCTATTGAAAAGAGGTCTCATTGGCATTCATACCACATCTTCCAAATTCATAAGATGTTTTCAATAATACATGGAAGATAAATGTGTTAAAAATAAGAACAATTAGAGTTACACTGAGTATTCCTTTAATTTCATCTACACTTATTTTGATAAGGTGTTCATTGTCATATTTGATTATAACATTTTTATTTAAGTTTTTAATGACAGCTGTTTCTGGTCATGTGAACATACAAATGTAATATAATACAACTCTTCTTTCTTTATACATGTAAATAAAATTATTCACTTAAGTCTTAACATTGCTTTACACACTGTAATATACCCCCCAAGGGTGACTGGGGAATAGAAATATGGTCACCATTGGTCTTCCTCCGACCGGCGGTAAAACCTTCGCTAAAGTGGGGCGTCCGTTTGGCTGTGCGGGATGTACAAGTACGCAGCCACGTCCGGTCAGAATGGGGACGTTAAATCCGATGCCTCGTGTAGAGAGAATGCCACGCTCTCTGCACGTTAAGAACCCTTGCAACAACTCTTTGAGGGGTCCGTAGGTGACCTGTTGCAAGGCGAAATTGCTGTCCCTATCCAATTTACCCTCATTTTCCAGTGGCAGTCTAAATTTCCACGACCTTCTTCCCGGATGGCCTACATTACAGAACCTACCTATTGTATTTATTGTTAATTTGTTCTCGTCCTGAATATGCATGAAATATTTGACACTGGACGTTAAGCAACCAACAATCAATCAATCAATCACACTGTAATATAAGATCAATATTCGACAAAAAATGCCTATTTACATTCCTAATTTAAGTTGACATGCATTGACCAATAATTTTGCACAAACCTTTGATGGTCGTGATTTTGCACAAACTTTTCATATTACTTTAAGATGGATCATCACTTAATCTGTTCTCTGACAGAATTTTCTAATACTTTGCCAAAATGTAAATTTCATATAATTTACAAAAAAATATTCAGTAATGCTTGAAATTTTCTAAATGATACAAGGAATTTATTTTTTTTTATTTAAGAACAAATGTCTTGCAAATAAATTGTGTACTACTATATTAAAATCCTAGATGGTGATATATTCAGTAATGCTTAAATTTTCTAAATGATACAATGAATAACTTTTTTTTGTTTAAGAACAAATGTCTTGCAAATAAATTGTGTACTTCTATATTAAAATCCTAGGTGGTGATATATACATTTATTTTGTGATGATCTACCTTAAAACTATTATTAGCATTAAGTTGGTAAAAGTTAGCATTGCTAAACATCTATTGCTTACTATTTTTTCATTTAACAAACATACAAAAAAGAGTTACACATTCTAAATAAACGCATCATATTCCGTTCAAATGTTTACAGATAGGATTAATGCAAATAACATTTATTGAAAACACTTTCTTTACCAAGCCTAATACTGTTTCATTTAATCTTGTTTGACCGCATATACAATAAAGAATATTCATAAATTTTCTAAATAAGTAAATAAATGTAACATTATGTTATCAAATATAACGCTCTCTAGGTGAAATAACCAAAACATCTTTGTTAAACAAATTTGTCTTAACAAACACAAATCTGCATTTAATTCTATGAACAGGAATAAACGATGCAGAACCATTGTGTATGTACAAATTCGAAGACCAAACTTCTACTGGCTTCTTATCTAATTGGATCTTCCAACTTCTGGAACCAACGTACTTTTACCAAGAAATGAGTTTTTATTGTACCATTTAGAATAATAGAGTGTATAAGAAACTTTTCAATTTGTCCAGGAGAAGGATTAAAATCATTATTCTCAAGTACAATGCTACCATTATCACCACACCAAAATCCCATTATATAAGAAGACCTTGCACTTCTACTATATTGAGATCCTAAAATAGAACCATGGAAAAAAGGCTTCCTTAGCCTTTTGGTATGATCTACAAATTTCAAATTCAGAAGTATACAAAGTACTATAAAAATCAGATAAAATTCTTGCATCCTCGTCACACAATGACTCGGATTTAGGTTTTTGTACAAAAATACCTTCAGATAAATCCCAAGGTACATCTGCTATATTACAACTAAGAGATGACCTTTCTATAAGACTTGCTTGCTGCAAGCAATTTACTTCAGCTAAGGTTCCCCTTTCCCTAACTGTGCCAGACAGTTCTTCAAACAGCGGTGCACAATTTGGACTTATGACATCGTCTTTAACTCTTGCTCTGGATTCAGCAAGAAATCTCTTCATTATCTGCACTTCAACATTTTTTTTATTGGTTTTATACGATCCTAAAATTTCATTTTGCCTTTCAAAACTGAATAACCAAAATGAATATACTGGTCCATAATCTAAAATACAATCAAGAAGATGACCATGAAGATGCATGTTTGGTGTAACAAATTGGTCACCATAAAGGCTTTCAAAAATTCTACAAAAATCCAACAATAGCCGATCTGCAACCTTGGCGTTTCCAACAGATAAATATCTTGAACACAATTTCTTACATGCTGGTACAAATTTCCTGCAGCATTCTAAGTGTTCGTCAGGTAAAATTCCTTTCAAAGCATAAACTGAAAGCAAAATTGTCCAGTTCTTAAGCTGATCAGCATTAAAAGATCCCATTGAAGA